GGATGGAAGAGCAGGCTCAGAACCTGATTGACAAAACAACCGCAGCCTTTCAGCAGGAAAGACACCTCTGACCCCATTCGCTGCTCCCCCTCCTACAGGGGCAAGGATCCCACCTCCCCGCCCTGCCCATCTTTTCGGTCTTCCTCGCGCTGGTATGACGCCAGTGCCCCATATGAGGGGCCCTCCCATGAAGCCAGTGATGGGTCCTCCTCCTCCTCCTCCTGGGATGATGCCAGTGAGACTTGCTCCTGGAATGAGGCCACCTGTGGGAGGCCACATGCCAATGATGCCCGTCCCATGGTGGTGCCCACTTGGCCAGGAATGGCTCGACCAGGCAGACAGGGAGAGAGGGGAGCCTCTTGCTATCGGTGTTATATGACTTGCTCGGCTTCACCAGGAGATTGTGGTGCTGACACTGGGTGTTCCTAACAGCGTGGCAAGGAAGGCTCACTCCCTCTTCCTATCAAAGACAGAATGGTTTGGAGGGGAGTAGTGGGACAAAAAAAGAGCAGTTTTCATTTGTATTGTGAAATGTGAAAGTAAAATTGTTAGTTCTTTTAGTTAAAAAAAAATATTGGAAGCACAGGGGATTCAAGATGGTGGCGTAATATGTGGCAGGGTTACAAGTAAATTATAGAACAATCAAGCTTAACAACCAACTAAACACTAGTTGAACATAAGTCGTATAATCAAGGATTTACACAGAAGCGACATTGAGACTGGTAGGAAGGACAGAGGTGTAGAAAGGGCTGGCTCTGCACCCCTGTGAGGTGACTGAGAATCCGGACGCATCTCCCATCTGCAAAGGTGCCCCCTCCTGAGGAGCGCTGGGCTCCCCAGCCCAGAGCACCAGAGCCAGGAAAAGGAGCCCACATAACATCTGGCTGTGAAAATCAGCAGGGGTTCTGACCATGAGGGAGAGGAGTTTGCTAGAAACCCCAGGCACCCTCTTAAAGGGTCAGCGCATGAAAGAATAAAATGGCAATAAATACATACTTATCAATAATTACTTTAAATGGAAATGGCTTAAATGCTCCAATCGAAAGGCATAGGGTAGCTGAATGTATAAAAAACCAAGACCCATATTTATGCTGTCTACAAGAGACCTATCTCGTAATGAAAGACACACAAACTGAAAGTAAAGGGGTGGAAAAATATATTTAATGCAAATAGAAATAAAAATAAATGCTGGGTAGCGATACTTATATCAGACAAAATAGACTTTAAAACACAGGTTATCATAAGAGACAAAGAAGAATATTATATGATGATAAAAGGATCAATCCAACAAGAGGATATAAGCCTTGTAAATGTTTATGACCCAACATAGGATCACCTAAATATATAAAGCAAATCATTGAAAAAATTTTGTAAAAAATAATTTAATGATAAAGCAAATCTTAATGGACATAAAGGAAGAGATTGGCAATAATACAGTCATAGAAGGATTTTTAACACCCCATTGATGTCAATAGATTTTTCATACAGAAAATCAACAAGGAAACAGCGGCCTTAAATGACACATCAGGCCAGATGGATTTAATTGATATTTTCAGAGCATTTCACCCCAAAGCTGCAGAATATATGAGGTCTCTCCAGAAAAAGTCCAACCATTATTAATATAACAAGAACACTTTGTGCAACATAGATAAAACCTGGCAGCCAAGAAGCATGGACTGGAATGCCCATGTGTGAACAATGAAGACTTCACTGTACTAGTCAGTGGGGGCAACAGACACCATTGAGTGAGCATGTGTACTGTGTGGCCATCGCATTCAAAGTGACTGGGCAAGTAGAGCAACAAATCTGCATCAAATCTTGCGAGAAGCTTGAATCTTCCTCCATGGAAACTATTTGGATGATTCAGAAGGCTGCAGTTACGGACAACTGGTGATTGGCAGCTTCATCACAGCAACACGCCCGCTCATACATCGTGTCTCCTGCAGTTTTTTTAAAGATGTTATGTACTTATTTTTGGAGAGAGGGAGAGGGAGGGAGAAAGAAGGGAAGAGAAATATCAATGTGTGAGAGACACACCAATTGGTTACCTCTTGCATGCCCTACCTGGGGACCTGGCCCATAACCCAGGCATGCGTCCTGACCAGGAATTGAACCGGTGACCCTTCTGTTCACAGGCCAGAGCTCAATCCACTGAGCCACACCAGCCAGGGCTCGTGCAGTTTTTTTTTTAATGTTAACATTTTAAAAAAATTTATTTTTTGAGTGGGGAAGGGAGAAAGGGAAATATCAGTGTGTGAGAGATACATTGATCAGTTGCCTCTCACAAGCCTCCAAGACTAGGAATTGAACCCGTAACCTTTTGGTTCGCAGGCCAACGCTCAAATCCACTGAGCCACACCAGCCAGGGATCCTGCAGGGTTTTTGTTTGTTTGTTTTTTGCAAAACATCAGATCACCCAGGGGACTCAGCCCCCATACAGCCCAGATTTGGCACCCTGTGACTTCTGGCTTTTCCCAAACTAACATCACCTTAGGAAGGGAAAAGATTTCAGACCATCAATGAGATTCAAGAAAATACGATGGGGCAGCTGATGGCAATTGGAACTGTGTGAGGTCCATTGGTGACTACTTTGAAGGAGGCTGAGCTGTCATTGGCCTCTGTACAATGTTTCTTGTATCTTCTTCAATAAATCTCTTTTTTCTATCATGTGGCTGGATACCTTCTGGATCTTGTGTGTGTGTATACGTGTATATGTATATACACATACATACGTATGTGTATCTCCTAGTTCTGTCCACTGAGAGGACCTAGAAACAATGGCACTCTTGTAGCAATGAGTATACCTAGCATCCTGATCTTGGGCACTACCTACCATTTTCCATTAAAAGGATTCTAGTGCTGGGGCAGAGAAAATAAAAAATGAATGTGGAACATCTTAATTGTGCCACAAAGTAAGGAAATGTTCAAAGAATGAGGGGGACACTTCAAAAGGATGTTGGAGCTGGCTTTGAGAAATAAAATCAAAATAGTGGGTAATTCATTAAATAAAATAGAAATCCATTAGTCTGTACTAATATATTTTAAGAACACGAATAAGTAAGTGAGGGAGAAGAAAATGCTCTATTTAACAAATGCCAACTAATAAATAAAAAGGGAATGATGGAAACTTCAAAGTCCACATTTAGCAACCATCACAGTGAAAATTAATTCAGGCACAAATCATTAATGGATGCTAAAACCAGTGAGTGCAAGTTTAATAAGAAACAGAGTATTTGGTCTGAAATATCTTCCAGAATGTAATGCATGTTTACATATCAGTTACTAGGTATGTGGTAGACACCATGTTAACTTTAACCAGGGATGGAAAAAAATGGCTTTGTGTGTCTTGGTATGCTGCACTGGCAGAACATATCACTTTTGTGGTATGCTTACTTAACATGAATCAACTGAATCTAATCATTAAGAAACATCAGACACACCCAAGTTGAGGTTCATGCTACAAAGTAGTTAGCCTGTACTCTTCAAAAATATCAGTCATGAAAGATATGGGAAGACCGAGGAACTGTTTTGTTTTGCAGGAGATGAAAGACATGACAACTAAATGCAGCTTACGAAGGACTTTACTAGGACAATCGGTGAAATCTGAATGAGGTCTATAGATTAGTGGTATAATCATATCATTGTTTATTTCCTAATTTTGATGGTTGTGCTGTGGTCATGTAGAAGAGTATCTCTGTTTTTAGGAAATAAACACAGATATCGTAATGGAGCAACATGTCTGCAAACTAATCTCAGGTGGTTCAGAAAGAAAGAGAGAGAATGATAAGGCAATAATGGTAAAGTGTTAACTAGGGAAGCTGGGTGAAGGATGTAGGGCAATTATCAGTGCTTACTTGCAATTGTTCTGTAAATGTGAAAAGTATTTCAAAAATCAAAAATTTAAAAATGCTAATACCAATCGACTGGCGGGAGAAGCCAATGTGATCTTATAGTACATTAGTGCAAGTCTAGCCAGAATGAGGCTGCAAACTGTGTGTGGGTCAAACCTCTCTGGAATGTGGGATTTGGCTCTTGGAAGGTGAGGTGACTACATCGCCTGAGGAACAGCTGAGGGGTCTGACTTCTGTCTTCAGTTCTCCAAAAGGCATCTGAGACAGGGAAGCAGACTTGGGACAGGGAGACAAATTTCTGTTCAGTAGGAGGAAGGGCTTTCTGCCAATTAGGCAGTAAGGTGGATTGAGCAATCTTGGGAGTTCCCTGTCATAGGACATGTTCTAACAGAGACCGGACAATCAATACTCAAGAACATCATAAAGATATTTCATGAATCCAATCAGTGCTGGGCCCAAAGACCACTAAGGTCCTTCTGATGATAGAGTCTGGTTCTCTGTTGTCTTCAGGTATTGGGAATTGAGTATTTCTGGAATAAAATATGATCTGTGTTGGATGGGGATAAACATTCTTTTTGTTCTCATGGGGCAAGAGTCCCCTAACTTTTTAAAAATATTTATTTTTACAGAGAGGGGAAGGGAGGGAGAAAGAAAGGGAAGGAAACAGCACTGTGCCATTGATATACTGATCAGTTGCCTCTCACACGCCCCCAACTGGGGACCTGGCCCACAACCAAGGCCTGTGCCTTGACTGGGAATCGAACCAGCGACCTCTCTGTTCACAGGCTGGCACTCAGTCCACTGAGCCACAGCAGTCAGGGCGAGAGCCCCCCAACTCTTGCAGTTCTGTGGAACCATTGAGAGAAACAATGATCCAGATCCTTTCCTAGACAACCATCTTGCTCTCCCATGGGCTACTTACAAATATAATTCTTAGCACTTTGGAAAATGAGCTGGTCACAACGGTAAGTTATTTCAGATGCTTTTATTTTAGAACATGCTTTTTAACCATATGAAAATAGGGCCTGAGAAAAGAGAAACATACATTGAAAAGAAAGTTTAACAATTTTGAAACATCGAACTGTCTCAGGCCATGCTCCTCCCAGCTGACATTGGTCCACCAGCTCCTCTGATCTGTTCCAGCAGTTGTCAGTTCCTCTTCATGTAAAAGTGAGACCTTTTCTTTTTATCCAGTGTTTCCACCAGCTCACTATACAGGATATTCACCTGGGAAAGAGATAAATAAATAGATCTCTTGAGGGGAAAGGATATGTGGGAAAGCCTCCCCGACCCATGGTGATGGCAGCAGAGTCTAACCTATACCCGAGCCACACTGGGGAGAAAATACAGTCCTCTCTCGGGGAAGAGGGGCCCTATCACGCTGGGTCCATTTGCTAGGGACAGGCAGCTATCACATGGAAGAAGCTACCCAAAGCATAAATGATCCTTTGCTCTTGTTTGGTAACAAGACTTTTTCTCCACCAAGCGTCTCCTGGTTGGCTTAATGGTCCAGAAGTCTGCAACTCGGAAGAGTTCATGGAGGAAGTACCTTTGTACACAGCCACAGAGGCAGGCACTTCCTTGTGTGCACTGGCACTGACAGGGATGTGTCTTCCCAGAGCTCACTCTGGGCATTGGTCTTAATTAGACTCCATCCGCCATCCCTAAGTGTGTGCCTATTCACCATCCTTCCTGGTTTTCACTCTAAGAAATTGCTATTTACAGTCCCCTAACTCTTGGGAGTTCCATGGAACCACTGAGAGGAACAACGATGGAGATCCTCTCTCAGCCAAGGAAGGTAGCACCGAGGCCTTACTGAGAGCCCAGACAGAACCTCTCTGCCCCGAGTCCTGCTGCCCACCTTCTAACCCTCTCCCTCCTCACCTGAGTTTCGTAGACTTTCTTGAGGGAGCCAAGGTGGTCGAGGAAACGCAATGACAGGCCACACCACTTTTCAGCAGATACATACATCCCATTGCCATACATGAATATTCCGGTATTCCAGGACATGATCATCAGCCAGAGAACCTCCATTTCCGGGTAGCCTTCCTGAAATCCAAAAAAAGTGTTTGTGCTGTCATGATCATTGACTGTATCAGGGCTGGGTCCCATTCTTAGTAAATAACAGGTGCTCTGCTAACACCAAGGAGGGCGCCACAGCCTCCACAAGCAATCCTGTGCTCCTGGAGAGCAGGAAAAGAGCACCTTGAAGCTTTGTCAGCTGTAGAATGGTCTGGATCAGACCTTATGAAGTGACATAAACCGAAGAAGCAATGAGGCCTTCCTGGACTGAGTCCTGCTCTCTCTGAAGCAGGAGAAAAACCTGTATCCTGTTTGGGGCTTCCCTTGGTGCTATCCTCAGTCAGTCATCTCCCCAATACCTTACCTCTAATTTTCAGAGAAGGCTGCCAAGAAGTACTTTTATTGAATCTCTTAATTTCCTTGACCCGAGTCAGTCTGTGTTTGGAATAGAAATTACATTAATCTTTATTTATTTTCTTAGAGAGAGGGAAATGGAGGGAGAGAGAGAAAGGAAGAGAGACACTGATGTGAGAAACATTGATTGGTTGCTCTCCTACACACCCGAATGGACCCACAACCCAGGTGTGTGCCCTGACCAGGAATCAAACCTGTGACCTTTTGCTTTGTGGGATGACACCCAACCCACTAAGCCATGATGGTCAGGTTTTAATCTTTATTTTTAGTCGGGGGGAGAGAGGGAAGGAAAGAGAGAGAAAGAGAGAGAGAGAGAGGGAGAGAGAGAGATTGATTTTAAGGAACTGGCTCAAACAATTGTGGGGGCTGGCAAGTTTAAAATTTGTACAGTAGGCCAACCGGATGGAAACTTAGGCAGAAATCTTTCTATGTTACAATCTTTTTTTTAAAAAGATTTTATTTATTTGTGGGGCGGGGAGGGAGAAAGAGAGGGAGAGAAACATGGATGGGCTGCCTCCTGCACGTGGCCCAACGACGGACCGAACCTACAACCCAGGCATGTGCGACCCTTCACCTTGAGGGACAATACCCAACCAACTGAGCCACACTGGTCAGGGCTCTGCATTACAGTCTTGAGGCAGATTTCCTTCTCCAGGAAAACTCAGTTCTTGCCTGTAAGGCAAAAATTGGTTATGGAGGTTATTGCAGTTCTGTTATACTTAGTATCAACTGATTGCAATTTTTAATAAATATTAATCTTTGGTGTTGACAAAATCTACCTGGCTATGAACAAAGGGTACATTTTTAATATGGTCCCTTTGCCTTATGAGTGTCTTTAACATGGCTGATCATGGCTGATCAAAAGATTTTGCAGTAATGAAAAGGGTTAGTCTAGGGAACAACTTTCTCAGTCCTTGTATAGGAGATGGACTGCAAAGGGAACATCCATGTGCTCATTCCATGTTAAAGGCCTTCACCTACATACTAGGTCTCAGGTCCTTGGAAGGGAAAATGAGATAGGAGACTTGGTGTCTCAGCTGTAATACACTCACTGGGATCTATAAAAAATTACTATGCATAAAACACTATGAGAATGAGAGCGCTAGGATGGACAAGACAAAGCTCTTATCCTAAAGGACACGCAGTGCCTTGGGGGAGACAAGATACCCATGTGTGAAGAGGACTATACAAGTTGTGTGACTAAGGGCTAGTCAGAACAACGCAGGCGGTAGGTGTTCTCATTCAGTAAAAGAAATGAGCATCAGGCGGGCACGGTCAGAAGAGGTCTAGTTTCTCTGCTTGAAATGCCACCCCCATACCTGTCCACTTGGTGAACTTCTATTTTTTTCTTCAAATTTCACAAGCAGAGTTAGTTACTCTTGTCTCTGTTCCCACAGCAAGTGTTACACTCTTCTAACAGAACTTAGCAGGGTTTTTTTTTTTTTTTTTAATCCTCAACCGAGGACGTGCTTTACTGATTTTAGAGACAGAGGAAGGGAGGTGGAGAGAGAGGGAGAGAAACATCAATTGTGAGGGAGAAACACTGATCGGTTGCCTCTCGTACATGTCACAACCAGGGTCCGAACCCATAACCTAGGTGTGTGCCCTGACCAGAAATCAAACCCGCAGACCTTTGGTGTTCGGAGGGCGCTCCAAGTGAGTCACACTCGCCAGGGCACACCTTCTCAGGTTGTTTTGCACATGTTTACATATTTATCTCCTGCAGGCTGTTGATCTCCTTGAGGCACAGGAATTTTGATGTTCATCTTTGTATCCTCTGAATCCAACACTGTGCCCGGCACATAGCAGGGGTATAATAGTTGTTCACTGAATGCATGAATCAATGGATAAACAAATGAATTTATATCTAGCCGAATGCAATGTACTCAGTAAGGCTTTCCCTGACTCCCGGAAATTTATTATTCCTACCACTTTGTTCCTATGGCACTTCGTTCATGGCACTACAGTACAGCAGCACGTCTGTTTCCTCCACTAGGCTAGGAGCTCCTTCACGGCAAAGTGTCAACTACCTTCGTGTACTCACAGCCTGGCACAGTGTCCGACAATGTGATTTTAACTGAATTAATGAACAAATGACTGAACAAACATGGTCTTTGGGTAAATAAGATCTAGACATGCAAAGGTTATATGAAATGTCCAGATTAGGCAAACAGAGATCGAAAGCAGATTGGTGGTCGCCAGGGGCTGGGGGAGCAGGTAATGGAGAATGACTACTAATAGTTATGAGGTTTCTTTTTGGCCAGATGAAAACGTTTGGGCGTTAGATACTGGTGATAGTTGAACAATTTTGTGAATGTACTAAACAATGGACTTGTACACACTTTAAAGTTGTGAATGTTATGATATGTAAATTGTCAATAAAAATTACAAATATGTTGATGTACAGAGAAAGAAAAGGGCATTCCATGTGGGCAGAACAGAATAAATTAAAACATGGATTGTGCTTGAGACTGAGCATAGCTCAGGAAGACTAATAGTTATTTGGCCTAGGCAGGCAATTTATGTAGGGAAATTAATGGGAAATAGGACTAGAAATATAGGAGACGGTTACTTTAGCATTTTCTAAATGCTTTTCCTTAGAACATTACCATTACGCAAAATGTTAACAGATGGTCATAAAAATAGGGTTTTTGAGTCAAATATGTTTTGGAAATACTGCCTTCTATATATACCCCTTTGGAGCATGTGTAATGCACATTCATGAAAAATTTTGGGAAATATTACAGCAAAGAAACTACATAACTTTGTTTAATCCAAGGTATGTAAATTTTTACTAACATCTTATATAATGTAATTGGTGAAATATTGGGCTGGAATGTAAAGGGTTTTGTATTATGAGCCACAGATCTCAGAATTTCTTCTGCTGGTAATGAGAAGTCACTGAAACTTTATGAGAAGGCAAGTGATATGATGAAATTGAAGCTTTAATGATATTGAAATGCCAGCAGTGTTTAGAACAGACCTGTGTGAGAAAAAACACCGGCAGCAAGGTCTGTTTGAACGGAGTTGTAAGAGTCTAAGGATGAAGTGATGAGGGTCAGAACTAAAATAGCGACAGTGGAAACTGAAACATGCAAGAAACAAGACAACCTGGTAACTTACTTGATATGGGGAATATAAGCTAGGCCAATGACAAGTATCAGGTGATCTCACTTATATGTGGAATCTTATGAAGAACATAAACTGATGAACAAAATAGAAACAAAGGCATGGATAGTCCATGGAACAGACTGACAGCTGTGAGAGGGGAGGGGGAGAGGGGACTGGATGAAATAAGGGGAAGGGATTAGCCAAAGGACATACACGCATGACTCACAGACAGAGACAACAGTGTGGTGATGGCCAGAGGGAAAGGGGGGGATGGGGGCAGGGGCTGGGTGGAGGCGGGCAAAGGGGAGGGATGGGGACATCTGTAATAGCATCAACAGTAAAAAAATTAAAAAAAGAAAATGGCTTTAAAGTACATAGTTTGAATGGCTGAGAGAATGCTGATACTGCTGAAAGAAGAAATTGGAAAGAAATGTTTCTGGTGCTACAAGTTCAAGATAATGGTAAGTTCTATTTTAATTACGTTGGCACTGAGGTACCTCTGAATATACCACATAGGCTGTTGCAGTTATGGACTGGAACTCAGGTAATGGCAGAAGTGTAACAATTCACTTAAAGAATAGAGTATAGCACTGGCTGGTGTGACTCAGTGGATTGAGCATCGGCCTGCAAACAAAAAGGTCGCTGGTTTGATTCCCAGTCAGGACACATGTCTAGGTAGCCCAGGTTCCCCAGTTGGGGGCATGCAAGAAGCAACCAATCGATGTTTCTCTCCCTCCCTTCCCCTTTCTCTAAAAATAAATAAAATCTTTTTAAAAAAGAAGAGAGTGTAGAACATGGAGAGCTAAACAGAGAATATTGGAAGTGTTTATAGTTGGGTAGTAAGAGGAAAAAAACAGAGGAATGATGAGAAAATAAAGAAAAAAAAGAGGCTGTCCTTTTCACTTTCTACAGCACTGCTCACAAGCCTCATAGCTGTCTTACCCCGCTGATGATTACAAGTCTGAGGCATACTGCATATGATCCCTATGGCTGTCCAGGAGACTAGGATATGCACACAGGAGATCTGCCTTATGAAGGGCTGTATGAACAGCAGACCTATCAGGCGATCCCCAACATGATCAAAAACTTCATCCAGTATTTCCACAAAATCATCTCACATTTGATTGGCCAGAAGGTGTATGAGCCACAGGCGAGTCGTGTCTCCAGTGATATCATTGACCAGAAAGTGTATGAAATCCAGGACATCTATGAGAACAGCTAGACGAAGTTGATGCAAAGATTCTTCAAGGATACACTTGGGCCTGAGGCTGAAGCCACTGCTCTACAGGTTGGCAACAATGCGGTCTTCCTGATTTTGTAAAAAGAATTATACTACAGGCACACATATGCCATAGCCAGTGGGGGACCTTCCTTGGAGCAGAGGTTTGAATCCTATTATAACTACTGCAATCTCTTCAACTACATTCTTAATGCTGATGGTCCTGCTCCCTTTGAACTACCCAACCCGTGGCTCTGGTATATCACCGATGAGCTCATATATC